TGAGCAGGTAAACCTCTACACCACCTGATCAGGTAAACCTCTACACCACCTGAGCAGGTAAACCTCTGCACCTGAACAGGTAAACCTTGGACTGACAGCACATTTTACGTTTTACTGAATCTGCAGAAAATCTCACACATTTGTGAAGTTTGTAGCTGAGAAGAATTCACAAAACATGTATTAAGAGCTAAACGCTGCACGACTTCTGTCCTGAAGCTTTGGTGTCAATCCTACGAGTCTGTTAGTAAAATATCTCTTGAGTCACTGCACGGATTTAATAAGTCACAGAAACTAATCATTGGATGTGTGTCTACAACTGATTTACCTTTTGGAGTAACCACAAAGATTCAGTGAGCCACAGTTGAACTACATTAGAAAAATAAATAACTAACTCCGTTTCATATTTATTATATAGATAGATGTTGATATAGATATTGATATAGATAGATGTTGATATAGATATTGATATAGATAGATAGATATATTTATATACATATATATTTATATAGATAGATGTTGATATTTAACTAAAACTCGTGTGGTAGTAGGAGAGTCATCCTCAACACACACTCGGAGCTAACAGCTCAACACATCAGTTTCTAAGTTTGTCAGGCAGCAGGTGAAACGTCAGTTTAATGTGATTAAACATTTGTCACAATAAAACATGAATAACATCTTGATTTGTCCGGAGCACAGATCTGTGCAGCTCCAGCAGGAACGCTCCGTTTCTTTCATCTAATTAAACGAGTCCGTGAGACGGTGTCAAGTCATTTGTTAAAGCAGCAGCTGGTTCGTTCGTGTTGCTGAATGTTCAGCACCAGAGGAGGAAACCTCATCTTCAGCAGCAAAGTGAGAAGATTCTGTGACTCCAGCAGTTCCGAGGGATTCGCTACAACCTACAAGTCAGAAGATGTGAAGCAAAGCAGCAGGAGGTCGATCACGAGCCGTTCTCCTCAGACCAATGGAGAGAACGCCAGCAGGAAGCTGGAAAACTAAACGAGAAACAACTCACGGCTGATGGAAGGAGAAAAGTGGTGGAGCGGGTGGAGATGAGACTGCGTCATGTTTGTCGGCTCGTGTGACGAATCGTTTCTTCTCGTGTTTGAAAAATGAATTCCTCAAAGTCGTCCGTGATTTTTAAATCACGATTTCATGAGTTCAGGTTTAATAAATCAATCATTTCAGAACGACAGCGACCTGCTCAGGTGTTCTCAGGTCCTACCTGGACTCTGCATGTTAATGTAGCACAGGATCTTCTCTCGGCCCCTCGTGGACTCGGACCTGGACCTGACCCCCTCCTCTCGCTCCATGGCCTCCTCTAAACCGTCGGAGCTCAGCGGCGACTCAGAGAGGAAATAAAAGCCTGTCCTCTCTCATGCTGTCCTGCCGTCAGTCCATCCCGTTTCTGCTCTGGAAAAAGTGACGTCATCTCAGTTGGAGCTACGTATTTGTCTTTGGGGGGTCCAGGAGGTTTTTCTGAGAAGAGCCCTGCAGCTGGTGCTCATCTTCACGTCTCTTTGTGCAGAAGTCGTCCGTCTGCAGCGCAGACATGTTCAGAAACGACACAACTTCCCCTCCATCCGTCTTCTCTCCCAGCTCCAGTTCAAAGCTCCGGAGAGCAGCTTGGAGATGTGTGACATCACCGCTGCTCTCAGCCAATCCCACGGTGGCAGTGATGTCACCGGGGCAACGCCCCCCCTCCTCCTCCGCAGCATCGCTCAGCCGGTGGATGGATGATGTCACTGTTTCAGCTGCTGCTCGCTCCAACTGACTCAGAACCTCTGAACACACGAAGAAGAAGCGGACTGACACACGTCAGTCATGTGATCGTCCCAACGAGCGTCTGGACCGTGGAGCAGAGCTCTGAGCGCCCAGTTACTCAGACCTGATGAAACTGGGCCTTTTCATAAACACGCTCTCTCGTGTCGTTTCACATCAACCAGGAACCAGCAGGAGGAACAAATCATGGAGGGTCAGCAGCTGGCGTGTTGTTTCCAGCAGGTGGCCGACACGGTGGAGAGGCGGCTGATGCTGTCGCCTCACAGGAAGAAGGTCTGCCTCGTTTTCAGAAACAACTTTAATTCCAACAGAATGAAGGGATTTTCTGATGAACCGTCCAAATGCTTGTCGCCCGCCGCCTTTCACGCCACACTTCAAAACTAAAATCACCTGAAGGTGAGAAGAAACGATGTAGTCCAACCTTAAAATGACGTCATGCACTCGGAGGACGAGTTGACGAGGACTCTCAGCTACCACGCCACACTCCGCTCTTCCTGACAGCTGCAGCCATGATGGCGGTCCATCAGCCATCTTGAATTTGACCGACATCAAAGACTGATCAGATAATCGGGCAGCACGATGGATCAGTGGTTGGCACTGTTGCCTCACAGCAAGAAGGTCCTGGTTCAATCCTGAGGTCCTTCTGTGTGGAGTTTGCATGTTCTCCTCGTGGGTTTCCTCCCGGTCCAGAACCTGCAGGTCCAGCAGGACCTGTGGTCTCAGCGGGATCCGTCTGGTTAATTAAAGGTTAATAAACAAAGATATTTCGGTAACAGACCCACAGGAACGTTTGTTGATAAAAGAGTTGATAAAAACTCTTCAGTTTGTGAGATCAGCAGGTGGCGCTCCCGTCTGTTTAATCTCAGATTAAAGAACAAATCTGCAGTCCGGGTTACGCGACGCCAGCGTCGTCGGCTCCGACGGCATCCAGAAAGATTTATTTTGTGTCAAATGAAGAAAATTTGTAAAAACTAAACTTCTAGTTTGTGTTAACTTTCTGAAAAGCTCAAGATATTTAAAACGTTTTATAACCAAAAACTCATTTCACTGCAACAAAAGGGATTGTGTGGAGATTATTCCTCTGGTTCCAAACAGCAGCACAACCGTGGAAACAAAACGCCTGCGGGTGATTTTATTGTCACGAACGTTAAAAAACCTTAAGATTTAGTCCAAACGTTTCTGTAGTTAAGACTCTGCAGACATCCTGCCTGGAAAAGGTGAAAGTTTAAAGTTTTAGCAAAAAACAAACAAACTTTTGAGACGTGGCTTTAATTGTTCTGAGCCAGTTTTCAGGCACCGCGCAGAAGAACGGACGAGTGGACACAACAATGAAACCAGAGTGAGGTGTTCCCGTTACCTGGTGCTGCTTGGTTCATGTTGAGTTCACTGCTTATCAGAACCTCCAGGACCTGGACCAGCGGATCCACATCAGACTCAGACCTGAACACAGAGACTCCATCAGACCTGATGATCTCACGTCTGAAAATAAATAACTTTCTACATTTAATCTGTGCGAAAAATGAAGGAGTCCGCGAGTCGTGAGGTCCAGAACAGGAAAAGGAACCAAAACTTCAAGTGTTCTAGATTAGAACTCTGAATCTTCCCTCCGCATTGAAGGCATTTGTTAAATGTTTGATAAACACGTGTTTACATGAGTGTTTACATGCGTGTTTACATGCGTGTTTACATGCGTGTTTAACGTGTGTGTGGTTCTGACCCAGACGTCTGTCTGAACAGCAGCGGGCTGAAGTTCTCGGCCACGGTCCGGGGGCTCAGCTGGTTCCTGGAGCCGTGCAGACACAGACGGGCCACGTGTCGGACCACGCTGAGCAGCGTCAAACCGTACTGGGCGGGGCAGGCGGGAGAACTGGCCACGCCCCGCAGCACCTGAGCGCAGTCCTCCGGGTCTCGAACCTCTGCACACAGAAACACAGAACAGGCCTGATCTCCTCTTCCTTTGGGTTTTAATCCAGAACATCACTGGATAATCTCAGAAAATTATTTAAAACATTCTTAACGACTTATTCCAGATGTTGGACCCAAAGAGTTTTGTTTGTTTCCTGTTCGGGCTGGTTGGTGTTTTGCTGCCACCTTGTGGTGGAGGGACGAACAAAATGGATCAAAGTTTTTAAATTAACATTTTATAACTTTATAACTATTTTAAACAAGTCTCTTATTCATAACAAACTTGGGTCTTTAAGGGATGAAATTATTAAATAATTATGCAATAATTTCATTTTCCGTTTTTAGCCAATAGTGTTTTAAATAACTAATTTAAACTACAGTCTAGATTAATATTGTTTGTTAAATTATGTGCATAAGAATTTTAACCCAGGTGGAGTTTTTTATTCCAGTCAGCTTCGTGTTTGATTTCATATCTTCCCATTTCTCTTTTTGCTGAGAACAAACTGGATCCGGAGGTTTTTCCAGCACCAGCAGGTTCTGGGTTCTGCTGACCTTGGACCGTGTGGATCATGTCGGCCTGCAGCGAAGGGGGCAGGACGGGACCAGGGAGGTCCTGCAGGAACCGGACCACCCCGTCACACAGAGAGGGGACGTCCAGCTGCTCCAGATCTGAAAACAAACGCACCCCAGTTGAACCTACAAGGCCCGGCTGCAGACAGAACCACGTTAAGAGGCTGTCAGAGCCCTCACCGGTGTCGGCCAGGTGTCGGGTGTCCAGAACTCCTCCACTCATGCTGCGGTAAACCCCGGGGCTGTCCAGACCTGCACAGAATTTAAAAAACAGCAACTTTTAATCACCGAATACATCCATCAGTAAACAGATTAAAGTGCGGGCTGTTTCAGAACCAAACAGTAAATGATACGGGTGTAACCAGACCCGTTTCTCACAGGACCCTGATCATTTAGTTTTACAAGTTGCAGCGCACGTTCTGTCCAAACATCTGATTAACTCAATGAATGATCTCACAACGTGCTCGAACAGCAAGAGTCAGGCCGAGTTTAATTTGATTTCTGTCAGATGCAGATTAAAGGTAAAAATACACAAACGAGTGAGTTGGAAGAAACTAAAGATAAATGTTTCTGTAACTATTTGATGTTTGGCAGCAGCGAATCAGTGAAACCAACAGGAAGTTGTTCATGTTCCTGTTTGTTACCTTTAGTCTCTATGAGCTCCATCAGTCTGCTGAGGACCGGGGGGGCCGTGTCCGGGGGGCCGAACTGCTCGGGGAGGTCTGGTAACACAAAGCCTGAAGAACAAACAAACAAACAAACGTTGAACATGAAGCTTCAGACTGAATCAACAACACGCAGAAACTGATAAAAGCCGTCACTGCTGAAACCCGACATTCAGAAAAATTAATCCTTTCTTTCGCATTACGGCAGCAAGGCTGAGGCTTATGGGTAACGTAGTCTTTACAGACACAAGGAGGTAAACCCCTCCAGCACGTTTCACTCAGACAGGAGAAAGAGAGGAAGTGAAAAACGTGCAGTTCAGTGAAAGAGGCAGGTAAGAACAGTAATCTAAACTGTGCTGACTACCACACACACACACACACACACGCACGCACGCACACGCACACTTCCTGTGTTTTCCGTGAAGCTGATGGCAGCAGAACAGACCTGAGATCTGTTCAGTCAGCAGCCACAGCCCTGACTAAACAGCAGCTGAGCTCATGCAAACTTCTGCAGCCGTGAAGAACACGAGGAGCGGTTCTGAGGGCGGTTCGGTTCTGGACTTTGGGTCTGAGCGAAGGTCTAAGTTCTGACCTGAACTGTCCTCACAGAGGAAGACGTTGAAATGTGTTTTTAAGAAGACAGGAAGCAGCACTGAGTCCTAACGTGCAAATTCTACAGAAAAAATAAAACCTTTAGAAAAAGTGACAAATTTATGATTTTTAATAAACGAGCAGAAACTCTAAACCAGAGGTCAACACGCAGCTCTTTACAGCTTTTACCATAAAATAAATAAAGAAACAATTATAAGCAGTTCATTTAGAGTTCTGTAATTTGTAAATAAAAACGCTAACAGAAAGTGATTACGAAACAAATGGATCATTTTATGCTTTTGGTTGAAGTAATGTAACTTGCAGCCCTAAAGTGTGACGTTCTGATGACCGTCAGAGAATTAAAACAGGTTTGAGGGCAGTTTGTGAGAGGAGAAACAAAAAGAGCAGCTTTGTAAACGTAGTGCTGTAAAAAGACAGAAGGCGTTCTGCGACACCGGCGGCTCATTTATTAATTATTTAAACCTTAAATAAATTAAAGGCATCTGAATTTATGAGGGGAGTCATTTTACTCATTTTATGTTCACTCACAGTCATTGGGATGAAAATATGATCATTTTTAAAGGAGCATTTATTATTTTTCACAAATAAAGTTCAGACTCACGACGGCCTCCATAACTTAGTTTATATTTGATCAAAGCGGAACATTTTCTTTCCTTCTTAGTTTATTTTTCATTGAAAAATAGCAACAAGTTCTGTTGGTGATTAAAATGTCTGTTTATTGTGAAAGTGTCCGGGCCCTGCCGTAAGGCCACGGCAGCAGCAGAGGGATTAAACCCATCGCGATGAAGATGATGAAGACATCTTTACATCAGATTACCGTGTTTACATGGAAACGTTCTGCTGCTGCATCAGGACAGAACCGTGACCCGCTGATCTTTGGGCTGATGGAAACTTCATGACTCAGAACTTTTACTTACTCTCGGACTCGGAGTCGGTCCGGACCGACGCCGCTGATGGTGGTCTGGGAGGGCGGGGCTTTGGAGTGGGCGGAGAGATCCTCTTCCTCCCAACGAACTCCACGTACGTGCCCGGGAAGTCTCCTTTTTCCTGCCGGACACAGAAAACCACGTTAGTCAGAGTGGAGTGAGCTCAAAGCACTTCAGGTTATTTCAACGTTCTGCTGAGTTTTGAGAATCATTTCTGTCTCCTGACTTTACGAGTCCTTCGTTGGTTGTCGTCATGATCCAAATCAAACTGAATCATCCTGCTTCACTTTGAGCTTGAGTTTGTTTTCAGGCCAGCGTGTGATCTCAGAACAATCTGCAGCCTGTCCTGCAACGTCCCCACGCACAGAAAACTGGATTTAATGAGCACGTTTGGATTTACCGTCAGGAGTCACATTTCAGCTGATCTCATGCTGCAGGGCTGGACTGGTGCTGGTTCTGATTCAGACTGTGTTTCGCTTCATAACTGCTGCCTGTGTTTGCACTCTTTCATTAAGTTTTTTTTATACAGAACCACAAAGTGGTCATTATGGTTCAGCAACGCACATGAATGAGAGTAAACAGAGTTCAAACAGAAACGCTGCCACACCAAGACGTTGATCTTTGATTCACTCAAAGATTTTATGACGTTTGGACGTCTTCAGTCGTCTTATGGGGCGGCTGTGGCTGACTGGTTTGAGCAGTCGCCCTCCAGTGGGAGAGTTGGGGGTTTGATTCTACCAGCAGTCACATGTTGGAGTGTCCCTGAGCAAGACACTGAACCCCCTCGTTGCACCCGACGTGTCTCATCAGTGCATGAGTGTGATCTAAAGCTCCGATTAGTCTCAACAAGTCAAGTCACATTTATTTATAAAGCACATTTAAACCAGTAGCTGGATCAAAGTGCAACCGATTCACATCTTTGTCGAGATGCAGTAAAGTGCTGTGTGTGTGTGTGTATGTGTGTGTGTGTGTGTGTGCTTGAGGTAAATGAGTGCACAGATTGTGTTGTAAAGAGCTTTGAGTACCGGTACAGTTTATGTTGCTCAAAACCATTTCAAACGTTTTCAGTTCGTCTGTTCTTCAGAGCAAGTGTCATCATCATCATCATCATCATCATGTTACGAGTCTCACGGGCCCAAACTGAGCTGGACGTTCTCCGTTTGACAAGATGGACCAGAAGTTACAATGTTTTGTCCATAATTGCACGACAAACTGTGAAGACACAAACCCAACATTACTGCAGAGTTTGGGTCTGCGCTTCAGGAAAATACCCAGTAAGAACTACCAGTATGTAATGGATTATATGGTGCCAAACTGGTCCTGAACTCAGAACTGGGTCTTTTCATTTGATCTGTCAAAGCTCGGGGGGGTCGTGGTCTGATGCTGCAGAAACACCAAGTGTTTGCTGATCCAGAACCAAGAACTCCTTACACGCAGGCCTGGTTTATGAGGTCCAAACAGAAACGCTCCTAAAACGTTGGAACCACCATGTTTAATAAAGTTGGATTAACGAGCTTCACTCAGAGAATTAAAGTCCAACCCGTCAAACTAAAATAAGACGCTTTGCCGTTAAGTGTGACTCCACTCAGCTCTCGTCTTAACGGTTCTTCTCAGGTGGAGATGATTCGTCAGTGATCCGTTTCCCCGCTCTGTGGACGGTATCGTAACGTCTTTTTGTGCCACTCCACTTGTTGCGGCCGTTCATCGGACTTGAATTTCTTTAGCTCGTCTTGGCACTGCTTATAAGAGTCTGGGTGTAGCCATGTTGCACCATCATCTCTGAGATCTCTCTGTAAACGCGCTCGTTTCTTGTGGCGCCGTCCGTCAACGCGATGAGGAAGTGGAGGTTCAGATGTAGTTTCCAGGTCTGCAGTGACGTAGCTCTGCTGGCCAGTCAACGGCTGCTATCTGCTCACGCCAAAGTCAGACCCTCTGAGTCTCAAACAAGACGGTCCCACAAACTGAGCTGAGTGGGAGTGGTACTGGCAGAGGGCCGGCCTTTAACTGGTGCCGTGTGGTGCACAACAGATGAGTTGAGACGGTGGCAAAGCGACAATGTTTTCCTTCACATTTTCTTTGAAAGTTCTCACAGCAAACTATGACAGCAGACATGAAATGTTCCCCTGAACTTTATCATTATGGTGCAGTTAGAAAATATTTACTCCAGTAGGTTGCCAGATATCTCGATACATATTTATGCAATACAGCCATGCACTTCACGTCAACAAAATCAGTCCAGACTTTACTCAACAAATATGAACCTAAAGATATACAACGACATCAAAGCTGTTGCTTTTCTCCAAACAGAACAGCTTATAACTAAACATCATTGGTGACCCGTTTGCAGTTTCTGGCTGGTTCCGTAGCTCAGGGGTGTCCAGTCCTGGTCCTCAAGGGCCACTATGTTTTACTGGTTTTTCTGTTCCCGCACACCTGATTCAAAATTTAGATTACCTCTCCATGTTCTCCAGAGGATCACCCATAGATTCAAACCAGGTGTGTTAGAGCAGAGAAACATCTAAAACATGCAGGAACAGGACTGGACACCCCCTACTGTAAAAAAACAACGGGTAGTTAGCAGCTTTTTAATTTGGGGACACATTAACCATAAATAAAGTTATCTCCCAGGATGAAGAACTGGGAGATAAAGTTAAGAGGCCAAACTGAGATGGTTTGGACATGTCCAGAGGAGGGACAGTGGTTTGGACATGTCCAGAGCAGGGACAGTGGTTTGGACATGTCCAGAGGAGGGACAGTGGTTTGGACATGTCCAGAGCAGGGACAGAGTGAGACGGAGGACTTGTTGTGGAGACCCTGAAGAGGGAATGGCCAAAAGAAGATGATTAACCATCAATATAAATGTTTCTGTGCAGATTTTGTTTCTTACTTTATGAAGTTTTGACCAGTTCAATGATTTTGCAACGAATATTTTGTTTTTTATATAATATGAACAACGTCTGACGTTTTAAATGCCACCTGGTCCGTGGTTCAGACCAGCTTTGATAATGATTGTTTGCAGCTGAAGTTAGGAACCTGGTTTGTAGCTGTAAGCATAAATCTACTGGTTTAAAAAGCAACAGCTGGTGTTTCAGTGATCCTGTGTGAGAGTGTTAAAGCAGGAGTTTAAAGGAAACAAACTCTGATCTGTGTGGATGACTCTTCACTTTTAAATAATTATTTTGAATTATTCAAGTCTTTGGGGTTAGGGGATAAAATCTATTTTTAGGTGCATCAAATTTTAACATGGAAGATTCTGAATCCGTTTTCAAACGTCTAAAATAAATGTAGTTAATCTGTGTTGCTGCTTTAGGAGTCAGAAGAACAGTAGTTGCTTGGTGGAGTTTGTCCCAGTGGAGTTGCCGTAGCTTCCTGCTCCTGAACGCTGAAGAACATCGGTCTGTAAATAACAGCTAAAGTTATCAGAACATGGCTGTCTTTAGTAATCACTCTGAGATGTTTATTTAGAAGAAAACATGTTCTTCTAAAGCTGAACCAGCTCTGAACTGGACCCTCAAACTGGTTCTAAAGGTTCACCCTCATCAGATCAACACGTTCCTCCATCAGGCAGCTGCAGCCCACAGCAAGTTAAAACTGACGTAATACCAGATAAGAAAAGTGGACGGGACAACCTGGACACCTGCAGGACAACCTGCGTCCTCAGTGACCTTCTGCGGCTGCGATGTGTCGTACCTGTGTGGTCTCGTTGAAGCCTGGCAGCCAGCCAATTTCAGACGGGCGCTCTTCGGCTCCGTTGCTGCAGCCGAGGGCCAGCAGCGCTCCCTTACTGACCAGCAGCATGTCCCCCACATGCAGGTCAATGTCCTCTTCCCGCTCCTTCTTGTACTCGTACAGAGCTCGGTACTGAAAACCCTCTGAGCTCATCCTGACGTCTAGTTGAGTATGGCTTCACGGTCAGTAACAAAAAAGAAACTCTGAGTAGAAAACACTAGAAAAATATTGTCTTCTCTTGTCCTGAGGGGGTTTAATGTGGAGAATAGTGGCTTTGGAAATATGGCGTGTCCATGTGTTTGTGCGTCTCTCCTGTCTCCATGTCTGCTACAGTCCTGTCATCCGTCCAGGCACATCCACAGGCGCTCGCTCACAGAGACATCTTCAGCCTTCATGAACAGGAGTCTGAGAGGAGGCGGAGGCCACATCTGTGGAGGCCACAGCTCAACCTGAGAGGCAAGAGGAGATCAAAGTTTAATGATGGGGGAGGACAGAAAGACGAGCTGCAGCTTTTACACACAAAGAGCTGAAACGGTCCATCAGCAGCTGCGGAGACCACATTTTACTGATTTACTGAACAGAATAAAGCTAAACGTGATCAGCTTACTGACAGACCTCAAACTTAAGATGACAAACAAACGAGAACTGATTTCCTGCTCGCTTCTTCGGCAGTTGTGTCGAGTTTCCCCAGGAAGTCATTCAGCAGCAGCGATGAGCTGACCAGATTAAAGGCACACGTCAGTTCAAACAGCCGAAGTACGCCCGAAACACCAAACGGTTTCATTTACGAGCAGCTGCTTCAAAGTATGTGAAATAAAAAAGTGTTAATATTTTGATGTCTTGGTTGAAACATGAAATGATATATTCCTTAAATAAATAAAATCCTGCGAGTGATTTGTTTCGTCAGAAAAACAGTCAGAAACAATAATTTGTTTATGAAGATAAAACAGAAAATCTAAACTTTGATAGTAAAATGTAGCCACAGCTTAAAGTTAATTTTAAGTTTTAATCAAAATTGAGCTGATCATGTTTTACCAAAAGGAAATTTCATGTTTTCTATAAAACCTGAAAATCCAGTAAAAACTTTTGTATTTTGTTTTAATAACCAACAAATTCAGATTAAGAACAATTAGATTTTAAACCGACGTGTTAAAAATTATTTTATTTCTACTTTATCCGTTTTTTTTTATCTTCAATTCAGAACTCACTGATTTTCTTCAAATTATAAACTGAATTTACATTAAAGACTTTAAAAAATGACACTGCGAAAGAAAAAGCTGAAACATAATTAATCCAAGTCTTCCTGATTAATCCAGTTTGTGTGGCCGATAAATTGTCAAATGCAATAAATAAAAAGATAATTAAGAGGAAAAGTTCCAACAAACGAACGAATGTTTCATTTTTACATTTATCATTAATTCCCAGTAAAGGTTTAACACTTAATTACTCCAGTTTAATTGGTCTTAGGCTCTGGTCCAATGATTAAACATGAAATGAGGAAAAAGTCCCGAACACAAAAAGATTCGTCGAGTTTTAAACTCGCGTTGAGGAAAAAGAAGGAAAGCTGCAAACTCTGGACCCGTAAGATACTTTCCTGGTTTGATTAAAATGAACGATTATCTAATGAATCCTATTTACATGAATTTCGAAGAAAAGGCATCTTAAAATAGCAAACGTTCATGAAGTTGTGAAGCAGCAGGAGGAGCGTCAGGAAACGGGAACTACCAGCGCAGCTAGCTGCTAGCTGCTAGCTTTAGCCCACTAGCTCGTGTCGGTCGCTCGAGCGTCGCTCACCTTTTAATCTTTAAACTTTTTCACCAGCGATGGCCTCCAGCAGAGAACACAGCCGACATTTTGTTGGACACGACCTCCAGAAGCTCGCCAGAAACGAGAAGTTCCGTTATTTTGTCGAACGTTTCCAGGATGGAGACGATCAAGGACCGTCCGTTCGTTTTTTTCTCCACAGATTTACGTCAAGTCTGCGCAGCACAAGGGCCACTTCCGGTAGAGCCTGCCAAAATAAAACGTGTTCAAAACAACAGAAACGTTACATATTTAAACGATTGCAGCCTTTTGTTAGAATTTAGTTGTCCGATCTACAGTTTAATATTACGAAAAAACTGACTGCTTATTGAAGCAGTTAAGACGATATAATTTGTTGCTGGAGACAAACGTATAATGATGAGGATTGACTGAACTTTTCAAAATAAAACAAGGGCGTATTTTCATGTGATGAAATAAATTAAAACGTGATCAAATGAACTTTTGAGATGCTACAAGCAATGATGATATATAAATTAAATACATTATTCATCTTCTAACAATTCAGGCGTTAAAAAGCCGTGATGATAGATTTTACATAGACAGGGAGGCAGGGCACCTACGTCATATCCGGTAACCTAGATATTAATGCGGTACTGTCAGGGTAGGTTTCCATAGCAACAAAGGAGAGTGTGGGGGTTTGGTATATCCGTGCTGCCCTCATTCACTCAGCTCTCATAGGAGCACAGAGGCTCTGAAGAGCGTGCGTGTGTCGGTTAAAAGCTGGGTGACTCCCGGATCATGTGACTGCTGCGGAGGCTTTTCCAGAACACACTGCGCACATCACATGCACAGCTGTATGTGCAGTCATCCATCAGTGAACACACCATATACATAAAAAATATAAACTTTTATTTACATCACAAACATCTGACATTAAATTCATAAAACAAATAAACACAGCTTTTTAATTTCATTAACAGTACAAACGATCACCGTAAAGTTACTCCAGGATTTAAAGCTGCGTGCGCACAATGTGGAGAAATGCTGAATTGATTGTTGTGTAAACTGTTTCCACTGTTTGTGAGACTCGTAAATAATAAACAAGGCTAAAATCAAATCCAACATGTTTTTATACGTGAACAGATTAAAGGTCGAGTGATGTTCCACTTTCTGTCTGGTTCCACTTAGCTGCTGCTAAAATAATTTGATTAGCCGAGTGTCACGTGACCCCTCAGAAACAAAGAGACAACACATGACACCACTTCTGGGTTCAAACGATAAAAACCAGAATGTAAATATCTGAGGTCATCTGTCTGAGCGCTGGTGAACCCGACAAACCCAAAATATATATTAAAAATAAATAAATAAATAGTATAAAGCTCAGAACTCCACACTCTTCAGTTCTGAACAGAGAAAGCTTCCTAGACAAAAAAACAACCAACCATCAGCAGAAGTCCAGTTGGTTTGTTTTGTAAAACTCGTGAGTTCTGTGCGGTTCTGAGCAGCTAGGTGTCAGTTTCAGCAGGTGACGTCTGCGCTGCAGCAGTGGTTACCTGTTGGAACACGAGCAGCTCCTAATTAAAAAGTAATGTGACAAATCCAGCTCACACACCTTAAACTCAGGTTCCACTTCCAGCCGAAGCCGATCCCACCAGCCTCCTGAGCACATCTGAGCAGAGAAACCCAGAACTGCTCCACATCGTGAGGAGCTCCGACTGTAACGAGCCGTCAACGGTTGAAAGACGGGACCGAGTTAACGGTTAAACCTAATCTGTAAAATAATTCATTTGGTTTATGGGTGTGCAGATCCTGACTTAAAGTCTGATAAACATTCAGAGATCCGCGACATCAAGTACACCCGACCTCTGACTTGGGTCAAAAGCAGCACTCAGCCCAAAGTAGTCAGAAGCAAACATCTGGATCACTGCAGCTGTTTGTCTTATACAATATATAATCTGCCGAGGCAGCTCAGACTCTCATTAATAAAACAGCTGCACTTCACCAACATCACAGAATCAATCAGAGAGATGAGGAAGTGGGTCACGCTGGTGCCTGGAATACACAGGAACAATCATGACAGGCGCTCGGTGAGCTTCATGGCAGCCATCTTGTTAGGTGCTACATTTCATACTGTTTGCATGTAGAGGTCACACCTTGTGTGAGCTGCATCATTAGTTCAAAAACATAAAGAAATAGTCTTTGTACTTAAAAAACATGCTGTACACTGTGAGAACAGGAGACCGGTATTCTGTAATGAGCCTTGCACCAAATCCAGTCGAGCGGTATTGAAGGTAAAATATTTGCACACCGCAGTAACACTGCTGGGGTAGATTTAAAGTAAGTATTTTTCTGTAAACAGCTCTGCTACCAATCTCTGGAGGTCATTCATTCCAGACTACTAATAAAAACTTATATATCATTTTCCTCATAATGAAAAAAGATTTGTAAGCTCAATCATCCAGGTAGATAACAACAAAAAAGGTTAACTCGTGTCATCTGGACCAGTTGCTTTAAGTGGAAAACGTTTCGTCCCCCATCCAGAGGACTTCCTGTCTATGGCCTGCCAACCAGATCTGTCCCACAGGTAACCTTCACTGCTGTGTTTCAAGCCGACCTCCTGTTGGAATCTCAGCAGACTTTTAACACGTGCACTGCAAAGCACACCCATCCAAAACAATCAATCATCACAAAACCACCTCGCAATCAAGCTGTTTTTTCACTACTTTTCCTTTAATTACCATTTTATTTTCATTTGTTAATAAATAAATAAACTTGTATGCATCCTTTGTGATTGTCTATTGTTGTCCACTGTTGTCGATCACTCTGTTAAAATTCAGGTCTCTCTTGTAAACGAGTCCTCGTGGCTCAATGGGACTAAAAAGGTTGAATGAATCATGAACAATCAAATGTTTTAGGCCAGATGGCCGACTGGCAGAGAGAGAAACAGCCTCGTCCTCAGGCCGTTCCTGTGAAGGTTCCTTATGGGACAGATCTGGTTGGCAGGCCGTAGACTGAGGAAGTCCTTTGAATGAGGGACGAAACGTTTCTCACTTCAAGAAACTGATCCAGATGACACGATTGAACTTTTTTTGTTGTTTTTCCTCGTAATACTGGAAATATTTATCCTTATGATTCATTTCAGGATTTAAACACATAACTGAGATTTTGTGTAGTTTATACACAAAATTAGTTATTGTGCACAAATCTTTTACCGATAAAATAGATAAGTTTATAGACTAATGCATAATATTTGAGACAAATGTTTCTAATATTGACGTTATTTTTTGATTATCTGGTACATGTTGACCCTCATGTTTCACAGAAATCATCGCAGACGAGTCCAGAGGGAGTGATGAGCCCTGGTATTAAAATAGTGTAATGGACTTTTATTCCCAAAGAGAAAATACACAGAAAACCTTATTTCATGGTAAAATGCCTAAATCTGGAGGTTTTCCAAGCATGTCCCACTGTGTGGACCCCAGGGCAGACCCAGAACCCTCAGAGGGGGGATTATATATATCTTTTCTGGTCTGGGAACACCTCAGGAGGAGCTGGAGTGCCAGTGAGGAGGGGGAGGTCTGGGTTTTTCTCCTGGACCTGATATCTCTGTGACCCGTTGCCAGATAAAGCAGCAGAAGATGGAGATGCAGTTCTGAAAATCATAACAATTTAAGTCCAAAACACTGGGCTCCTTGAATTCTGTTTTTTCTTTAAAATTTTCCGGTCTGCTGCCATGCCGACAGAAATTAAGGACCCGTATGTAGCACCTATCAAGATGGTGGCACAAATTCTCACCTCATTGGTTTGGTGGTTGGCCACTCCAGCGTATTTCTATTTCAGTGAACTAACCTACATATAAAAAGTTTGTAGGCTCAATCATCCAGATGGATCACAACAAAAACGGTTAAATCATGTCACCTGGACCGGTTTAACCTACATTTAAATAAGTTAAACATTCACTGTCATGAGAAGACAAAAGTCTGCATTTATCAATGAATATAAAAGCCTAAACCAGGATTCTAAACAAATCATTGTGTGGACTGATCTTTACTGCCTCCTTCAGGCTCCACTCCTCAGTACAGTGACCCAAACATCTGGAGAGGAGCAGAAGTCCAGATGAATCCCACCGTGAGCTTCTCTACATGCTGAAGATGTTTCCCAGCTTACGGACCGACAGGCTGATCCTCCCCGACAGCTGCAGCTCGTCCTTCAGGAACCGTCCCACCTGCTCCGAGTGCAGAACGTCACAGAACACCCAGATCTCCGCCCGCTCCCTCTGGATGTTGGCGTTACACGTCGGCAGCCTGGCGCTCCAGACGGACCGGCTCAGAGAGCGCCACACCTGGAGGGGAGGAGGACCGACAGGTGAGGAGGGAGGACGTCTCAAAAACAGACTCCTAACAAAATCATCACGTTTTACAACTTAACAGATGTTTCCAGCTGCACAACTAAAATAATTTATTAAATGATAATTTTGTTGTTTTGCAGCATCTTTAAGAAAAACACCAACACAGAAACTTTGAGAAAAAGCTAATATATAATACAGTATATTATAAACTAGATGCAACAAATTCTTCAAAATATTTTGTTTTAAAATTCATCAGTAGCTTATTTAAGGATTAAAAAGTAAAGATTTTTCAAATTTCTTTTTGATGATGATAGAAAAATAACTTAAGAGCTTTAAAACTGTTGGTTTATCAAAACAGGAAATATTTTATGTTTTGCTTTAAGAAAACCTGGGACAATATTTTCAACAATAATCAACTGCACAGAGAAATATTAATCACATTAATCCTTAATGAAAACAGAGCAGAGCCTAAAGACACAAGCTGTTTATGGTCAACTGCAGAAACAAACTGTCCTCACTGGAGTTAAATCTGATGAGGCGTTGAGTCCAACACCTGAAGTCAGTGGAAAAGTGACCTGATAAAGATCCACAATCCCAGCAGAAAAACACAAACATAAACCGCACGTTGTGACGGCAATTTGTGCTTCAGCTTTGCTGTTTCCAGAAGATTAAACTCTAAAAGCTGCCGAGAGTCCGTCCTGCGGCAGCAGGATTTAAAGTCTGCAGAGTGTGATAAGAAGTTCCTGAACTGCACGTGGACAGGTGGATCACACACCTGTCCTGTCCTCCTGGTCTCAAAAATAGGTGTTTAAAACTCCATGATACTTTGTTTTCACAAGAATCAACTGATCCTCAGAGGGTTCTGGTGCATCGAGGTCAGTCTGAACCGTCTGTGGTTCAGAATGGACCTTCTTTTATGTTTAAAGATCTAATCTGCTTGAGTGCAATGTGAAATTGTATAAATCAATTTATTAAATTTTACTTTCTGCATCAGTACGATGTCAAAAAAAAGCTAAAAAAAAAAACGGTGAATGTCTGATCCAAACGTTTATAACATCCGTTTACAACTTTTAATTCTTACTAATGATTTAATGTCACTTCATCTTTCCAAACGACCTTTTTAAAGTTTGTGTTTTTCAAATGCCTGAAAGTCTTCATGTCTCGACTGAAGACAGGAACACTAGAAGAGGACGTCAATAATAAGAAGTAAAACTTTAAATATTTGTGAAAATGTAAAAAAACAAACGAAACAAAAAAAAAGTGTAATTATCCAATTATTGCATACCGACTTCATTTTTAATAAATAAATGATGAGGTGAAAAAAGTTGTTTTAGTTTTCCTGAGGTTGGATTTACCTCTTAGACCTGAGAAAGACCAAATGATTTATTATGCCCAGGTGAGTAAAACTTTAGATTTAGACAACATTGATGTCATTTGAAGCAGCCGCTGGAATAATGGACTGACTTTTTCAATGTCCCTGCAGTTGTCTTTGGTGATCACCCACTTGGCCCTCTGGCGGAGGTGGAGTGCCTGGACGGACACCATGTGACGGAACCGTTCGGACAGGGGCTCCAGCAGAACTCGTCTCTGCGTGAAGATGGTCCAGGACCGTCTGACAGGTAGAACATCTTTTTCCGGCGTGGTGGTTTCTCTCTCTGGGATGAGACTGCTTGGCGTCTCTGAGACACAGAAAGTGTCTCCAGTTTTTTCTGGGCTTTCATGCAGAGTTTCTGCACAGATTCTGTGGGCGTCAGCTGAGAGGCCGTCACTGATGTCTCCCTGTGGTTTGTTTTCTGTTTGACATGCCGTCACCGTGACGACATCAGTGGAGGAGATACGAGGAGCAGGTTTGGCAGGTCTGAGGGGCAGCCGGTGGTCTCCTGCAGCGGTGGGAAACCAGAGGGTGAAGACCGGGGGGGTCCGACAGGTGAAAGGCTTCAGCAGCTGCTCTGTTCGCTCTAAGAGAGAGCTGAGCCCGTCTGCTGATCCAGGCAGATAATGCAGAATCACGTCCTCCATGCAGACGTGAACAAGCTGACTGACGGAACCACCTTCCTCCTCGTCTTCTTCATAACATCAGCCCAGTCTGAGGGGCCTGTTGGAGCAGAACTCTGAAGGATCACACACACATATGTTCCTTTAAAGCACTGCTTTTTAGTCAATTTACACATAAACTTCTTGTAAGAAATAAGAATAAAAAAGGTAGGAAAACTGTGATTCCAGCATCTAGATATAATAAACTGATTCAGTGACATTTTTTAAATAAGGAACGTCATCTATCAATCAAAACATTTTAAAATTAAAATCTGGAACAAACATTCTGGACTCCAACATTATTTACTCCTTTCAATAAATTTGTTTTATTTACTAGATGCGGGATATATTTATTTTAGATTTTACGTGTATCCACACACCATAAAAGAGAAAACCAACTCAAAGACTCGTTTAGGCCACAAACCGGCAGAGAAGCTAATGTTTTTAGCTAGCAATGCTAACAGGTACCTAACGACGCTGACACGACAAATAACCAACAAATCAGTTAAGTCAGTGAGCAATAAAGAAAACTGACGTCATACATAAACAAGTAACAGGTAAGTAAACAATCGACACGTACGTTAGGGGCATTAAACATATATTTTTGTTTAAACGGACTATACAAACCTTCAAATGAACCATGAACTGGACGCACGTCTCGAATATTCTCGCGAGACTTTGCACAAGATGACGCAGTTCCACAACAATTTTAACAATATTTTACTTTTTTTAACATAGACGAGTTTTATGTAGTTGAAATAAATCTATGCAACAGAAATAGTGCACGAAAACAATTTCCGATAGATAAAGGATAACAAAAAACTAAAACAAAGCAGGAAGTGTCGTCATCAGGCACATGCGCAGTGCTGTTCCCTCCCCCCCCCACCAAAATATCTCCCAATTTTAAACATTGTATTTTTGACAAAAACGTAAAATTATTAAATAGCAAAAATATTAACATAATCACAAAATAGAAGTGGAAAAATAAACAACATAAATAAAATAGAAAATGTGAGATAGCAACAATTACACCATTAACCTCACACAGACTCTCCCACTGGTACATTTTCATCTTTAAATCACTTCCTGGTCTGCTGCCTTCATACATCTCCTCCTACATGTCTCTGTGTGAGTGCAGCTACAGCGTGCGCTCTCAGGACCTGCAGTGTTCCCTCAGTGAGGACTGAACTAGACAAAAGGACCTTCTCCTACTCCGCTCCTGTTTCCTGGAATATCTTGTAAAAAGACCTGAAGCTCTCGACCTTTGACCTCTCTAAGTGTCTTTAAGAATCTGTTGGACTCCTGGCAGGGACCAATGCAGACATGTTCCTGTTTTTAGTTTTCTACATCCCCCTTAGAATCTAGCTGTTTGTTACTTTTCTTTTTTCAGCCATCCTATTTGTTAAAAAACAACATCTGTATGACTTTTTATAACTGTTTATTGTTGTTGCTGTTGTCCATTGTTTCATCTTTCTTTGTTGAAATCAGGTCTCTCTTGTAAATGAGTCCTCGAGGCTCAGTGGGATTTAACTGTAGACATGAAGGTTGAATAAGAATTTTCTTCTTTCTGCACCCTTTTCATTCAATGTTTCTTTTGTCTTTTTAATGAATGTTTTTTCATTTGTTTCTTTTAAATGAATTTTAAAAACAGCTAGATTAAAACGTTTTGAATAAAGACTACCTTGTTGCTTGACAAGACTCCTCAGGGTCACGAGTCTCGGGGATTTTTATTTTGTGGGTCAAAGACTAAATGTTTTTAGTCTAATCCAAAGGTTCCTGTGGTGGTGCTGCGTTAACCATTTGTAATGCCCTAAACCTGCTGATCTTTTGATAAAAAGACAAGGTGGGCGATAATGATTTTTGCCTGTTTGAACGATCTCTTAACCCACTGGGTTAATGAAATGTTCAGGAAGTCCTGATGGGACGTTCTACAGATGAGGAACTTTAGTGTTCATCTGATTCAAGATGGCCGCTGCAGCTCAGCATCACCAAACACGAACATACGCTTCAGTTAAACCGACATGATGAACCAGGCGGAGTGGTAGTAGCTGCGAGTAATCCACATTTCTGAAACACTGAACATCCGTCCATGTGAACTTCTTCTGGTTCTGGAGTCAGCAGCTTGATCAGGGAGGTCCACACATCTTTCAACAGCCACCTCTTCTGGGAAGCTGGCAAGGAGTTCCCAGATCAGCAATCTGTCCAGCTCGTCCCGAGTCTTTCCCAGGATGTCCATGTCCAGAACACCTCCCTACAGAGGCGTCCAGAGGACATCCTAACCAGACGTCTGAACCTCTTCAGCGGTCTCCTCTGGATGTGGAGTAGTTCTACTCCGCGTCTCTTCTGGAGAACTGAACTTCTCACCCAATCTCTCGAGTCCTGCAACCATCCAGAAAAAAAACATTTGGATCGTCTGGATCCAGGATCTGGTTCTTTCAGTCTCCTCACCACAATGGACCAGCTCAGAGTCCACAATACTGCGCAGAGGCTGCACCGATCTCACACTCGTTCCGACTCGGACGCAACACGTTTTAAAAATGGCTGCACGTCATTTCTCAGCAGTCTCCGTGAACGACGAGCACAAACGCATCAAACCGCCTTCAAAGAACGTTCACGTCAAGCGGATCTCGTGAGGAATCGATTGCTGAATAAACTGATTTACACGAAACACTTTATTCAAAAGGTGAAAGTTTCTAAAACTGCAGCTGTTTGCTGAAGGCTTTGAAGAGATCAAAAGTTATCGTTATGAAAAATGATAAATTTTAGGCTTTAAAGTTAAAATACTTAAATCGGACTTTGCTCCACAACTTGTTGCCATCATTTGTAAATCTGAGATGTTTTGTTGAGGAGGACATGAAGCGTCTGCAGCTGAAGAAAAGAGACGGCTCCCAGGCTTTTTGTCAACAGGACATTTTATTTCACACGTCTGTGATCGTAGATCAAATTACAGTAATGTACTTGCTGAGATGACCACCGGCTGCAGCCTGGACACCTAAAACTGACAGCTGGACTACTTGAAGCAAACTTTTTCCTATTTTTAATTTATTTTTTAAAACGATCTCGCAACAGAAAAAAAGCGCATTTCCCGTCAGATGTGTGGCGACGGTTCGAGTTATAGTGCGGTCTAAAAAAACAGAGTAACAGAAAACCTTGCGCGTTGTACGTGTTGTAAAAGGATCAGAATATGGCACATTTGGTCCACGTCGGTAGTTTTATTATCTCGTTATTTTCTTCAGACATGTAAGAAACAGAAAGAAACCCTAGAACAGATCGTAGATTACGTGTCGTTTTCCCCAGAAGCACAGCATTAATTAATGACAGCATATCGACAACACGACTGTAGAGGACGTCGCTTCGTTTCCATTACATCTTAAATTCAGCCAATCGTTTGTCTCCCTGGTTCAGAAACATCTTTTCATCCAAAAGGAGGAGGGGGTGTGGTGTGAAAGGGGGCGGGGCTTTGTGGATGAATGACAGGGATGGGGCTGGACATTCACAGGAAGTAGTCAGGTGTGCGTCTGGTCACGTGAGGCTCGCCACGGCGGGGGGCGGGGTCAAACTGCAGGCTGTGGAGAGAGACAGGTTCGTAAGTGACAACTTCCTGTGAGAGTGATGATGTCATGATAAAGGCTGCAGAGAAGACGGCGAATGTTAATTACAACGTGGGAGGAAATAATCCACTCAGGATTTCTGAACGTTTCAGCCAAGAGCATTTTTAAAATCTAAAATCTGCATAAATTAAAAAAACAAAAGAAGTCACTGAAATTTTTACTTCGAGGTTAAAAAAATTGTCGCCTTTCATTTAAAATTCAATATAAACTTAAACGTTAAATCAGTTTCAGGAGCAACAAGGAAGGCTGAATCTCTAAATAAAGACCACCTGACCAAACTGCTGCATTATGGGAGTTGTAGTTTTGTTGCAGCATTAAAAAACATTCTAAACCAGGGGTGTCAACTTACAAAAGGGGCCAAAATTAAAAACTTTTTTCAAACTAAGGGCCAGTTCCAGAATCTGCATTAACTCAAGTTAGACACCAAACATCTTTTCTTGGTCACAGGTTGATTGGTCTCATCTGACGTTCTCTGTTGCACTTTTGACATCCTAATCAAAGATCACTGAAAAAATTAAAGTGATAAAAAGTATTTTAGGTTTAAAATATCATCTTGGGGGCCAGATGTCAACGAGGGCCACATTTGGCCCCGGGCCTCGAGTCTGACGTGTCCTAAACCCTCAAAACTACTGAACGCCGAAAAACGCATCAAAAGTTGCTGTAAGAAGTCATAAAATATAGTTTTCTGCTTTTAGATAAAGAGCTAAAATAGAAAATTTAAACATTTTAAAGACCTAAAACTTTGAATTTTAGATAAGTAGTGATGCAGGTGTCATTTTGTTCCTGTGTGTTAGACCCAGTGAGTCATGAACATGAATATTTATTATTAGCTGCGACTCATGGAGAGGAACAGGGAACCTCTTCTGCGTGTAAATCTTTTATTCTCGTCCAACAAGCAGCAGGAGGACCGACCTTCAAACTGAATAAATCCTGGTTGGTTAGAAGCCGTCCGTTTACTTACAAGGAGTATTTCAGAGTGTCGTCCAGTTCCATGATGGCTGCCTGGTTTCCACAGCGGTAGCAGTAGTTTGGAGCACTAAAGATGGTCACCACGTTCTTGTCATGGCCCCAGTTGTAGCCCTGAGCAACAGAAACCAGTTCCATTACTGAGGTGGTACCAGGTCCACTTCACACCACCTGCTGTTAATCTGTCTCAGCAGTTTAAGCAGACTGAAGGACACGTTGTGGACACGGTGTCCACCTGAGGGTTACCTCCATGACCAGTTGATGGGCGCGGGACACCAGCGTGAGGCCGTTGGCGTGGTTGAAGGTTTCAGAGATGTCCTGTCCGAAGGTGTAGCCGGCGCCTCGGGGGGAGATGCCCCACCCACCGCGGTCATCTGGGTCGGACCACAGCAGGTCACACATGGGGCCCTGATGGACAGAAAGCAGGAAGACAGCTGTCTTATGTCTCAACTCAACATGCTGCGAAAGAGCGTCACTTTCTTTAAAGGTCACAGGTTCGTAGCATCGATAAGAGAATGTGTGAAGATAAGAAGGTGTGTTCGGACCTCGTGTGGGACTTCTTGCAAGCGGTCCAGAGCTCGTATGTGATCCAGAGTGTCTATGGAAGGAGACAAACCTCCGTGGAGACAGAAGATCTGAAACCAGAACCGTTTGGAGTTATAAACACGTCGGCGTAAACCAGATGAAGACGGCGTTCCCGGTGCCGACCCACCTGTCCATCGACCAGCGCGGTGAGCGGCAGGTAGTCGAACAGGTCTGTGAAGTACTTCCACACGTTGGCGTTCCCGTATTTCCTCAGGCACTCGTCGTAGAAGCCGTAAACCTGCGTGATCTGCCGCGACTCGTGGTTCCCTCGCAGGATGGTGATTCGCTCCGGGAAACGAACCTGGACCACAAACAAACAAACAAACATCTGTGTTTTATTGTGAAGGAGACAGAAGTCAACTTTCAATTAGGCAAAACTAAACAGTCATTAATCAAATATGAACCAGAAATGAATTTCTTGTTAAATGGATGTTTTGTAACTACAGACTGGTTGTTTTTGTTTGTGATCGTCTGATTAAATCAGAGTTCACACTGAACTCCTCCACTGTTCGTTTCTTTAGAAACTGTAATTGGAGATCTTCAACCTGCAGGTAAATTAGACGACGTCATGGTTCCATTGGGTTAACATGACTCAGCAGATTGTGCAGTCATTGTCACAACAATCCAGAACCAGCTGATCCAAAACACCAGTCAGGTAAAAACAGTCACCGTTTCAGAGAAAGACGTCGTCTGCACGACGAGTTATAAATGATAGAAATATATTGAGCTGGTCTGAAAATCAAACAGTTTCAATCTGATCTGCTGGATGAACCGTCTGAGCCACGTTAACTGAAGTCTCTGCAGTTTGCAGAACAACTCGTCCTCCACCAGCTGATAAACGCCGCCGCTTCGTGTTTTAACATGTCGTTACTGTACAATAAAACCGGATCATAAATCCATCAACAGACGCTCCACCACAAACTCCAGGTGCTCCTTCAGTTTGTCTGATGGTGTTTAAAGTTTAGATTAGAATAAAGAACGTGTTCATGTTGAGCTGTAATTAAACGCTTTGTTTATTTTCCTGCAGATGAAATTTGTTCAAATGAGCAAGAATCTGTGACCGAAGAGTGAAAACCTTTTCTGAAAGTTAAAGCAACTAAAGAGCAGAAACACGCCGACCAGCTGAGCTTTAGAAAAAAAACTGAAACGATTTAAATTCAACTACAATAAAATGTGACGAGTGCAGCTGAGCCTGATACGAACCAGTTACAGCTGAACCTTTCTAGTTTGTTTGTCTACGTTTGTTTATTTTCCCACCACGTTCAGCTCGGCGCTGCTCAGAACCGTCCGGGCGGGTTTACCTTTAACGTGACGAGCAGGGTGACCGTCTCCACCGAGTAGTAGCCTCTGTCCACGTAGTCCCCCATGAACAGGTAGTTGGTGTCGGGAGACTTCCCTCCGATCTTGAAGAGCTCCATCAGGTCGTGGAACTGACCGTGGACGTCTCCGCACACCGTCACCGGGCATCGCACCTGAGGGCAAAGGTCACAACCAGGACATAAACAAACAGTTTGTAGACAGGAGGACCTCGTTTTATTTTATTTTGTTTCGGCGTCACCAAGAAAAAAAAAAATATCTGAGCCGTTCACGTTGTTCCATTTATTTTTAACGGCATTAGCATTAAAACTTAATTCATCTTTAATTTTTTCTAGATTTTATTCAACGTTACTGATGAAAACAAACAAAAAACATGTTAATGTGAAGCTTAGTGCATCAAATGTTATAAAATCATTATGAGATGTTCAAATTATTTCAAGTTTTTTTCTAGTTACACAAACATGGAATACCACAATGCTGAAAAACGCCACATCCTGTTCCTAAAATATATTGATTTTAACTGAATAACTGAAATACTGTGCATTTTATTATATCTATAAAATATTTAGTCTTGAGCAGTATGAGATTATTTAGGCAGAAAAACAACATTGTGTTTTTTACAAAGTAAATAAATCACTGCAGGGCATTTGAAAGTTTTGTTTTAATCCCATGAAACTTGAATTTTTGCTTAAGGGTCTGGCGCCGACCCATTCCAGGAGCAACACGTTCATCAGAACATTTCTCTCAACCCGGTTCAGTTCTGAATGAGAATATTTGTAGGGCCAAACAAAAACCTGAATGAAACACATTGAACAAAATGTTCCTGTGAAATAAACACTGGTAAATGTTATAACTGACAACAACAACAACAACAACAACAACAACAACAACAACAACAACAACAACAACAACAACTTCAATCCATCAAGTTTAAAGTCTCTGATCAAACATGTCTATTGACTGTGGTTTGGATCGGACCCGACAGTTCATCAAATTATCTGGTTCTGACGTCAACACTTTGTCAAAGTTCATAGAAAATATCAATACTGTCTGCAGGAGTTCAATAAAACTCTTATTTTATCGTTACATCTCACTTCCTGTACCGTTCTTGAATGCTCTTATTTTGATAAACTTGTGTGTGAAGTGACTGTGGACTCGACCAGAACATTTAACTGGACTTCCATCCTGGTCCCAGTTTACCGACAAGTGATTTATTGACCGGAGCGTCCGACTCTAAACATGGTTCCTGTTTAACCTTCAGGTCACAGACCAGAACAACCGGACCACCAACTCTAGACCTGGTTGGTACCAGAAGCTGCTGGATCTCCTACCTCAGGATGTACCTGCAGCAGCTCCATGTATTTATTAAGAAGATTTAAACGTTAGTCGTGTTTGTGACTTTAAGCAGCTGTAAATCTGCTCCAATAGATTTTTTATTTATTTAATCAAAGACAAATTTAAACATTTGGTCTCTCAGTGACAGAAACACGACGAGACTCTTCTACAAGAACAGACGAGACGTCGATGAAACACGTTGAGCCAAAACAACTTCCGAAACAAACAGAACAACTTCCTCAAAATTGTTTTTCATTTCCTCAAACGTCACACCCTGGACCGGAGCAACAGACCAAATAAATAAACTAAAATGCTGTGGACATCTTTAAGATTAGTTTGGATTTAAATGCAAAGCTCCGATGCTCAGTTTATTCTTGTTTGGAGCTGAAACGTTAGGTCCAGTTCTCCACAGAGAGCTGGACAGAAACGATCCTCTAAAAATGAACAGAAATACGATTTTTAACGACAAGAATTTAAAAAGCTGGGAAGAAAAAAATACAGTTTGGGAATTTTCCCAACAACAGAACTTTTGAAGTTCTTCATCTCGTTGTTAAAACTGATCTTTATTTTACCTAAAATAAAAAAAACATCTAAATTAATTTACTTTAACATCCTCAGAACCAACAAGTTCTTCTGGAGCTCATTTTCAAACTGTGAAGCTGAAATAAATAAACGGTTATAGTTTAAATTAAAGAACGATCATTATTTAAAGCACGCACATCTGAGCAGATTATTTCATTTTCATCAGGATTATCAGGTTAAGTTTTTTATTTTTGTAATATTCCTCAGATTTAGCTTTTATCAGTATTATCCAACAGCTTCGTCACTTTTCTCCACTTTGTTTTGGCGACTCACCTCCTGAACGTTGGACTCCTTGGTCAGAATCTCCTTTGCCTGAAAAAACAACAACAAACCACAATTATGAAACCATCGATCAGATTAACGTTTTATGGCAAAAACTTCAACCTCTGAGTAAAAAAACTACTTTAGAAACAAGAGCTGCAGCAGAAAGGATCAAAAACTAGAGAAGTTACTTCAGATATACATTTGAAAACCCAACAGAACCGACAACACTTCTGCTTTTTTCTGATTCACTTGGTCTTAAAATGAGATTAAATCCAAAGTTTTTCATAATAAACTCTTTACAACGACAGAGTGGTCATCCAAACGTTGTTCTCCACGTCTACGCTGACAGAAATAATTCCTGTAGTTTTCAAACAGCAGATCAGACCTAAACTCTCTCCGTGCTTTTAGAAAACAGATTTCAAATCCTAAAATCAGAATTCATTTTTATAGATTAAAAACAACTAAATGTTTTCCAGTCAGTTTTTTCTCTGCTAAAACTCAAACGTCTGTTTTATTCTGGTTCTTCCACCCTCAGAATCAGATTTTAGTTGGAGGAGTAAAGTTGTAGAGATCACAAACGCATAAACTTTGTCGTTTTGTCAGAAGATCCAGAGATGATTTGGGGTTCTACCACCTGGTTCTGCTTAATCTGCAGCGTTTCCCCATCCATTACACAAGCAGGGCGCCCCACCCTCTCAACAGAACCAAGCACCCTGCCAACAGTGAACTGCTCCCCCGGCCCCGCCAACAACTGCCGGCACTGACGCAGCGCTAAGCTAGCAGCCTGCAATACAGATGTGCCTGCCTGATGTTCCCTCACACTGAGCGTCTCCCTGCCAAGGCAGGTGAGGAAACACGGACGTGGTCACGTTTACGCTTTGGAATGGGCTCGATTTGGTCCCACTTGGCCCGAGCCCAGAGGTTTTCCATCGATTGGTCAAACCCACTTCCAGCTGGGTTCTTGGAACCTACTGGGCCGTTGAAGGTTTGATGTCTGCACGTCTCAGTTATTGGTATTTTTAATGAACAGCGGTGTGGAGCTGCTGAGCCACGACGATCCAAACCAAGTCAGGGCGGCACTCGGTCTGAAAACCACACACAAAAAGACTACGTAGAACCGAGCAGAGCCGTGACTGGACCACGTCTTTGGTTTTGTGCGTTGGACGCTTAAATTTTTTTTTTTGAGATTTATTAAAGATTTTAAATTAATTTATGACCATTCTTGGTAACGGGGGTGGTGAAAATACAACATCAGCAGTTAACTGAATTTCTGGAGGTGATGTGAAGAGGTCCAGTAAACGTCTCGTGACCAGCATGGACACGCCACCGTAGAAGCCAACACGCAATCATGCATGTAAGTAACGTGTTCAAGATGTCTGCCATGACTCAGGTTTCCACCAGACAACATTATTCTTTTTGCACAAATAAAGTTGTTTTATTTTGAAAGTCTAATAAACTTTTTTGACCGTTTTAAAACTAAAAATATGTTTTTATGTCAGATGCTAACCTTTACATAATTGATGTCAATCAAACAATCCAGGTGTGATTAGGTTATTAGTACATAGTTCAGTCTGTACATGTTTATTTTCAGAAATAAAACTATTGCATTATTTTGGAAACTTCAAATAGAGAAGCTGAGATATAAAACAGCAATCGCAATTCATCCGTTCCATCCATCCATCCGTTCGTTCCATCCGTTCCATCCATCGCCCGCTTCTTCCTTTTCAGGTCATGTGTCCTTGACAGGGCACGGTGTGAGGCATCAAAAAATCTACCACAGCAAAGCAATAGAACTGGGGGTGCACCGATACATCAGCCCCGACTTCCTCAATTTGGGGAGATCGGCCAATACTTGGACGAGAAACCAATTTTACCGATTTTGTATAGTTTTAACAACAATTAAACTACAATTGTCTAAACCACAGCCAGACGCGTCCAATCTGTCCCGCTCAGTCTGCCCGTCTCGGAGGAGGGGCAGACTGAGCCCGACTGACCGAAATCAGACTGCCTGCCCCGGAACGAACAAGAGAAACACACCGCTGAAGCCACGGCGCTCAAATGTTTACCGAGAAGTTGCTAAACTTCATCGTATTTAATGATCAACAACTATCAGTTGTAGAAAAAGGATTTTGCAGCCAAGATATAGTTTACCCCCCAGAGATATTTTTCAGTACAACAGTAGACAATCATTAAAAAAAGCATATAAATTTAAAAATACAAGAAAAGTACACATATAATAAAAAAAAAGAAACTAAAACAGCTACATTATAAAGCGATGTAAAATACTAAAACCAGGAACATGTCCGTGTTGGTTTATGCCATGAACTTAGATGTTTAAAGCCATTTAATATTTTACTTAATTCATTTATTCATTCATTTAAAAGAGACAAAACAAATTCATCAAACAGAAAACACTGAACGAAAAGAGTTCAGGAAGAAGGAAAAAAAATCTTATATCCCCCTTTAATTAAAAAATATATACAAATAAACAAACAATCACTTAAATTAATCACTTTAATATCCTCTTTAAAGCTAGGAATAATAATAATTTAAAAAAACAACATGTTTTGTGTTAGCAGAATTTAATTCTAACTTTAAAACTTATCCAACATTAATAAAACTTACCTCAAATTGTCTTTTTGGACGCGCATGCACAGATTTGTACAAACTGTACTTGAGAGGAGATTATTACAGCCTCATATAAAATCATTGATCATGATATCAGAATGGGATCGGTATTGGTCGATATCCAAACTTGGGCATGGATCGGTGCATCCCTACCATAAAGGTCCCCAGCCGGGATTTGAACCAGCGACCTTCTCGCTGACAGCCAGCTCTACCAACTGCGCCACCCAGAATTACATTCCTCATATTTTAAAAAGATTTAAAGCCCAACTCGGCTAAGCTGCACAAACTAATGAGCATTATTGATTTTGAAAACAAATTGATAAATTTGTTGAGCTCAAAAAGCTCCACATGAAGCTGCACTGTCATTTTAAAACAAATAAAGTGTCAGGATGTAACAGGCTCAGGTTCCCTTTGGTCTAACTTTTATAACATCAAAGAATAAAGTGATCCACCCTGTCTGACAGCTCGTGTTTTTATCTTTACATTAAAGAGTTCATGGAGACAAGTTAAACATTTAAAGTCATTTACAGCTGAATAAACACGTTCTGCTCATCTCTGGTTTAAACACTTATTGGTTTCAGATTAGAAAACGGGCTGAAGACATTTTATTTTTATGTTTAAAATAAAATCTTGATGCAGAGAAGAGGAAAAAAAGCAACGGATCACATTTTATACAGCAAAACTGCGGCGCCGTCTAATGACTGGACAAGTCTATGCAATGAGACGGTTGATCAATAAAGGGCGCGGTGCAAACAATTGCACATACAGGATCATCCAATTCCTAAAAACAGCCAAAATATCGCGTCCGTTGTTTTACAACTTAGCAAACGCTGCACTTTGAGCGTCATAAAGAGAGGTTAAACAATACATTAACGCTCAGGGCTGCATCTATTTACTGGTTACGTACGGTGCGAATTCTCGGCCTGCCGAAGCTCAAATGACGTTTGATGACCGGCCTCACCAACTGAACATTTACCGAGTCATAAAAAAACAATAATTAAAAAACAAAAAACTACTATTGTCAATTTATCTTTGGTCTGCTGATAAACATGGATAACCTGCGGATGAGAGCTCGAAAACTGGACAAGTTAGCTTACCCGGTCGTTACCCAATTTCCAGAAATTAGCCGGAGCCGCTCAGGCGAGCAAGGCCGCACTAAAATCGAGGTCAGCGGAATGAGAATGGAAGTTCTTACCTTTTCACACAGAGTCCTGACTTGGTTTTCCGTTAGCTGCTTGCACTCGTTGAGCTGTTCAATCCATTGGTCTAATTCTTTAGTAAAAGATTTATCTTCCATTTTAGCTGTGGTATAAAAAACACTACGGGAACTGATTCAGCCTTAGTAGCTTGTCGTATTGTTAACCCGATCCAGTCCGGTCGGAAAAACGCCGAATAGAACTAAAAAGAACGAGCCTTTTAAATAACTTCTGTCATGATAAACTATCTGTATTACGTTACCGACATTAAAACCTGTTTAAATGAGCCAAGGGAGCCGAAAGGGCCGAAAGTCTCCGCTGCGGCAGAACCAAGCGGCGTCGCAGAAGCTAAAAGAGCTAGCTGCAATAACATCCGGGTATTTTAGCAGTGCGCATGCGCGACACTGCAGCGCCTCCAAGTGGAAGGATGAAGTACTACAAGATCTTCAAAATGTTCTGATGCATGCTCCAAGATCCAGGTAGATGAATCATCTGACTCAACAGTTTAAAATGAGTCAGGTCCTCTGGACGGATGCTTCTTTGTTGAAGCGTTTCATCTTTTGTCCGAAAGTCTTCTTCAGTCTGAGGAGCTGCTACGAACTCAGTCTTAAAGCAGCACCTTCTCATAATGGATTAACCAGTTTGCTGGTGAAAGGAGGACCATCAACCTAACAAATGATCGTTAGTGCCCTGATGGCCGCTTGCTATCCACAGGGTGCTGAGTGATACTAGCATTAACAGCATTAGTACGAGGGGGCGTGACAGTGTGATCTCAATGGATCTTATGTGGTTATGACGTGTTAGGAAATATGAGATGGTGCTTCAAAAGGCCTTTCTACGTGCTGTAACAAGCAGATTAAACCCTATTCCTTGACTGATATTGAATCCCAGGGAGACTCTTTTTAGAGTTGCTGGCCCAGTTTAACCCAGTCAGAACCGGGCCATAATTTCATTATAACCCCGTCTCTGAGCAGATCAAAAGCATAGGACCAATCTAAAAATATCTAACACTATCCATTGTTAGGCTGATGGTCCTCCATGTGAATAGCTAGTTCTGGCTGTCAGCAGCAGACCTTAACCCTGTTAGAGTTACCAGAACCACGTTACTCAACCTGCGTAATATCACTAACGTTAAAAACATCTTGTCCAAAAATGATGCAGAAAAACTGGTCCATGCATTTGTCACGTCTAGACTGGACAATGGTTTATTATCTGGGTGTCCAAATACTTCTTTGGTCTTCAGTTGATCCCAAATGCTGCTGCCAGAGTCTTAACTGGAGTTACTGGGAGAGATCATCTCTCTCCAGTTTTAGTTTCTCTCCATTGGCTCCCTGTCAAATCCAGAAGTGAATTCAAAATCTTACTTCTAACCTACAAAGCCCTCAACAACCTAGCTCCATCTAATATTACAGATCTTATTGTTCCCTTTGCTCTCAGACTGCAGGTTTACTTGTGGTTCCTAGAGTTTCCAGAAGCAGAATGGGAGGCAGAACTTGAGTTTCTGTCCGTGAGGATGACGCCACGGCACGAACCATTAAAATGAGAAAACCATTGTGCTGATTTTTTTCTTAGATTATATTTTGTTGGTGATTTGATTATGATGTTGAAATGAGTCCCTTCAACAGATCAATAAACCAGTACCGTAGGTTCAAGTCTAATGTCTCAAAAAATTCTTAATCAATTTACTATGACTTTTTCCTAAAGACACGAATACAAAATTTATTTAGCTAAATTGCTTCAGTCAATAGTTTTTAAGTGCATACCTTTATTTTTACTGTAAGAAGCCAGTTTTTTGTTTTAATAACAAATAAAAAAAAAAAACACTGGTCTAACATATATGACGGAGGCTCTGAATTTTGCATTTTACAAAGTTTGTCTCAAATATGTAGAAATTTTTTTTATTTTCTTGTGGATTTAAAAAGTGAATGCACTGCTCGCAACTACTAAAATGAAAAAAATATTTAAGTTTTTAGCAGTATGGAAGTCTGATACTTGAAAAGACATACCTCAGAATTCCCAACAAAATTTTAGTTTTAGATTCAAAATAAATTAATTATCAGGCGGATTATTTTTTCCACAGTCCTAACGCTATTTATTGTGGTTTGTCTTATGTATTATGTATGCCTAATTGTTGTAATTATTTAACATAAAATAATGTAACTCAACAATGGTTATGTTCAGAAAATGTTCGCGCTCTACCACGGAACGCCGCCAGGGGGCAGCATAACCCCTCAGCGTGCATTACCGTCCGTGCTAAAAGAAGAAGGTCTTCATTCACGCTTCCTGTTAGCCGTAACGGACATGAAAGAGGATTATACCAACATATTTACTTTATTAGTTTAATTTAACACGTCAGATCTAATCGTTTCTAGTCTTATTCTGGTACTGCCTTCAGCTATGGCCCACCTTACGGAGAACCCCGCCGATAAAGAGAGGTGAGTTCAGCTATGCTAACGTTAACAGGCTAACTCTGCACCCGAGCAAAACTCCGTTTGGATCTTCGAGTGTTTATGAGAAATAAAGCCAGTATTACGTTTTAAATGCTAAATAATTGCATCTCGTAGCTTTTTTTAATATGTGAAATCTAGTCTAAAATTCGGCTCACATAACCTTACATTTTATTGCTCAGAAATTAATAAATTTTACATAAAGATTACTAGTCTGTGTTAGCATAAGAATGACGTGTAAGGTAATCTTTGTGTTTGTTGATTTCCACTTTGATTTGTCTTTTTCACAGTAAAACTAAAACACATGTTTACAGACACTTTAATATGGAAACGTATCTTACTAAAGTGGAATGTGAATGAAAGTTTAAATCAAGTTAGTCTCACGGGAAACTAGTTTCATGAGTTTTAACAGCTGCATTTCTACCAGTTCAGCATGAAACTACAAAACTGTTTTTTATTCACAACTTTTTAATGTCTTCTCTTAAAACTTCTTAACTACAAAATACACAGTGAAACAAACTTTAAAGAATAAATGTTTGGGTAAATTTTCAGACATGCACTGAGAACGGGACAACCCTGAGGTAAAAAAAAAATTAAATTATGTTTAAAAGAAGAAAATGATATTAGGAGCCAAATAGAAATTATTAATAAACAAACAAAATATCACAGATTGCTGCTTTAACATTTATGTATGAAAAGATTATCACATTTATCTTAGAAAAACCTGCTGGTAGCGAAAATGTCTCATTGGATTTAATTTGGAAAACTTGTGAACAAAAATCGACATTTTTTACTTTATAATTATCCAAGGTTTTGTGGATTATTCAAAATAAGTTCTGTCAAGAACATCTAAGTATTTGTTATAAATTTAATGAGTTTTATTGTCAAATCTGATTGTAAATAGTTGTAGGTTGTTTTTGTTACTGTTGGACTGGACACCGTGCAGCTGGGGAACCGATCAATTATCACAAATTTATAAAAAATAATCTTCGTGTGGCTGAGACCAACAATTAGTACACACTTCTGTAAATACACAAAAAGATACTTCACTGACCTCCGAAGGTTATTAAAGAAGAATGATTAGAAACATTGAGCTGATGAACGGATCAACAGTTTGTGGATGTAACCCTCAGCCTCTTCAGTTTTATCCATGTGACGTGTTTCAGGTTCATCTGCGTCTACCCCGTCTACATCAACAGTAAGAAGACGCTGGCTGAAGGACGCAGGATCCCCTCGCAGAAGGTGAAGCTTCTGCTTTCCTGACATTTTCTTTATTTCTTCATCTCAACATCTGAGACGAGTTTAGAAAGTTTTGATGCTGCTTGTGTTGGTCTTTTGACACACGGAGAGGTATCATCTTTACCCGCTTCTGTCCGGGGGGGGGGGGGGGGGGGGCGTCGCTGGTGTCCATATCCGGCAGTCACTGTGTGAGAGGTGGAGGGACACCCTGGACAGGTCTCCAGTCCTTCACAGGGACACATGGGACAAACGAGACAAACAACCATTTCCTCACTCTCTCACCTAGGGACAATTTAGAGTCACCAATCAGCCTAACATGCGTGTTGTTGGTCTGTGGGAGGAAACCCACGCAGCACGGAGAGAACATACAAACTCCACCCAGAAAGGCCCCGGCTGGGATTCGATCCGGCAAACTTCTCGATGAGAGGGGGCAGCTCTACCCACTGGGCCACCGTGAAAATAATCAGAATCATTTTATTGGCCAATTAGTGTCATACATAACAGGGTTTTTGTTGTCTGCCCACGGCCCCGCGCGCCCTCTGTACTCACAATTTAATTTATAATCAAGGTGCAAAAAAAACAAAGCAACAAAAAGACACGACGCACAACAAGAAGACACGACGCACAACAAAAAGACACGATGCACAACAAAAAGACAGGGCGCACAACAAGAAGACACGACGCACAACAAGAAGACACGACGCACAACAAGAAGACACGACGCACAACAAGAAGACACGACGCACAACAAGAAGACAGGGTGCACAACAAAAAGACACGACGCACAACAAAAAGACACGACGCACAACAAAAAGACAGGGCGCACAACAAGAAGACACGACGCACAACAAGAAGACACGACGCACAACAAGAAGACACAACAAAACACCATTGTCTCCAGTAGAGAATCGGTTCAGGTGTTTGAGTTTTGGCCACGGGGGAGAAACTCTTCGTGAGTCCTGCTGTTCTGGTTTTGTCAGATCTGTAGCAGCTGCTGAAGGAAGTTGTGTGGGAACTGTTCCCTGCCCTCTGCCTGACCCTGGAGGAACAGAATCTCTGCGATCAGTTCTTGTCTCGCTGTGGCTGCGTCTCATTTATTGATGGACGTTGTGGCCTGTTGGATTAAATTACCAGTGTGTTCTCTTTCTGTTTGTTTGTTTGTTTGTTTGTTTGTTTTCAGGCAGTGGAGAATCCGTCCTGCGCAGAGATCAGAGACGTTCTCACGGCTGCAGGGATGAACGTGTACGTGGAGGTAAAACCTGCAGCTGCACCTCGGGTCAGAGACGGTGTTTGATCAAGCCGGACTGTGATTGTGTTTTTGTTTTATTTATCTTTAGAGCAAGATGCACCCCAGGGAGTGGAACAGGGACGTCCAGTTCAGAGGTCGGGTCAGAGTTCAGCTGAAGCAGGCCGACGGCAGCCTGTGTCAGGACAAGTTCTCCTCCCGTAAGTCAATGTCAGTTTATTTCTATAGCACATAAAAACAACAACAGCTGACCAAAGTGCTTTACAGTTAAGACGGATAAAAAGAGTAAAAAAATGCATCTAGTTCCACTCAAAAACATAAAGTTAACAGTAAATACACACAACAATAAAATAAGCTCTGAATTAGTTCTCAGACTCTGAGTGGATCAAATGTCAAGGAATCCAGATGAGTCTTCAGCAAAGATTTAAAAGTCTCAACAGTCTGAGCGCTCTTTAAATGATCAGGTGAACTGTTCCACAGTTCAGGAGCAGCAGCTGAATGAAGCCCGATCCCCTCTGGACTCCAGTTTGGATCTGGGGACATCTAAGAGGAACTGGTTGGCAGACCGGAGTGCTCTGACTTAATAAGATCACATAAATAAGACGGGGCCAGACCTTTTAAGACTTTAAAAACAAGCAATAAAATCTTAAAATCAATCTTGAAGTGGACAGGAAGCCAGGACAGGGGTTATGTGTTCATATTTTTAGTTGCTGTTAAAAGACGAGCTGCTGCGTTCTGGACAGGTTGTAAACGATGCAAAGATGATTTGTCTAAACCAACATACACTGAATTACAGTCGTCCAGATGAGAGGTAATAAAAGCGTGAATCACCTTTTCAAGGTCTCTGAAAGGGAGACGAGACTTCACCTTGACAACGAGTCTTAGCTGCAAGAGACTGGATTTATCTGTGCGTCTAATTTAAACGCACTATCAAAAATAACTCCCACATTCCTCACAGTGGAGCGGCTGCATGAAGCCAAGAGTATCAGGGGTGTTACATTTACCAAACTGAGGACTTCTGTTTTATTCATTTAAATTCAGAACATTTAGTTTTAACCAGACGATGTCATTTAGACGGTTCAAGAGTGGATCCAGTGGACTGACCCCGTCTGACTCTGTCAGAAGATTTAACTGACCCGACTGTGAGAACGTCCCTCGTGTTTCCACGACGTTCAGGAACAAGAGTTTCTCCTGCCGTGACACAAGCGGGGCGCCCTTTAGCTAGCACGATACAGGTGCGCTGGCTAAAGAGCTAAAGGCAGCCTCTTCCCTCGTTGTGACCCCACACACACACAGACACACACACACACACACAAACTCTTGGTTCAAACAGCGATCAGTTGAGCGCGCTGCCATGGCGAGTTATGTAGGGGAGACACTGAAATGTCTCCAGAAGGATTTGTTGTTTGAAGTTTCATCTCAACCATCAGGAACCTTCTGGATGATCTTGCAGGTTTTTATCATTTCATTCCATGTCAGATGCTTTAAAGCCTCAGTGCTGAGTTGGGTGAACGCTGAGGCAGTCCTCACCATGACACTTCCTCTGCCGTGCTTCACAGCTCAAGTGTTTCGTTGCTCTGCTTCAAAGGAGACAAATCGCTGAAGCTCCTCGTGATGTTCTGCTCTGTAAAGAAACCTGAAAACTCCTTCAGTCGTTTTGTTTTCCATCAGTTTCTGTGTCGAACTGGTCCCTCAGACGCGTTTTTCAAAGGAACATCTGGTGTTTGTGTCGTTCCAGGTAAAGACGTGATGGTCTACGTGGCCGAGATGATTCCCAAACTGAAGACTCGAACCCAGAAGAGCGGAGGAGGCGACCCCAGCTCCCAGCAGGGAGAGGGAGGGAAGAAGAGCAAGAAGAAGAAGAAATAAACTCGTCCAGAGGATCTCTGTATCCATCGTTGAGATGAGTTGGACTGAATCAGATCCTGAAGGTTTCCTCCAGGATCCATCCTCCTGATCAGCTGCAGATTTCCTGAATAAAAGCATCTTCGTTAAAACGTCTGAGTTCTGCAATCAGACGTAAAAAGTGTTGACGATAAAAGAAGGTTAAAGTTTCTGTTTGTAAAGATGAACAATAAATGGTTTGATGAAATATGATCAGCAGCAGGATGTTCAGATTAATGTCACAAATAAAAACTTTGTATGAACTTTAGAAAAGTTCTTTTCCCTGTTTTTGTTTCTGCAGTTCGACCAGAACCAGGTCTGCACATCATTTCATCGTATTTTAATTTCACCGGGGGGGGGGTTACATTTCATAACTTTCCTTAGTAAATTCACAATATCTTTGAGTTTCATGATGAGATGTTCAAATTTACTTCTGCATCTGTTTCCTTCTGATAAAATTCATTCAACCTTTATTTCTACAGGAACAGAGACTTGGTTTTAACCGAGTGATGACAACAGAGGACAATCATAAAGGATGAGTACAAATTAATAACAAGTGAAAATATTTAAAAGAAAATGTAATAAAAAAAACAGCTAGATCATAAGGCGGTGTAGAAAACTAAAAGATTCTTAAAGCCACTTACAGAGGTCAAAGGTCGAGAGCTTCAGATCTTTTTACAAGATGTTCCAGGAAACAGGAGCGGAGTAGGAGAAGGTCCTTTTGTCTAGTTCAGTCCTCACTGAGGGAACACTGCAGGTAATGATGTCCTGAGAGCGCACGCTGTAGCTGCACTCACACAGAGACATGTAGGAGGAGATGTATGAAGGCAGCAGACCAAGAAGTGATTTAAAGATGAAGATGTACCAGTGGGAGTGTCTGTGTGAAGTTAATGGTGACCAGTTAACCAGTGAATACTGGGTGCAGTGGTGGGTACGGTAGTTACAGCCAGTTATGAATCTTAGTACACCATGATAGACAGCATCCAACATCTGCAGCATCCAACATCTGCAGGGTTCTTGTAGGAGCGTTCATGTAAATAATGTCAGCGTATTCAATGGAGGGAAGGAAAGTCACAGATACAAGGTGTTTCCTAACATTCAGGGTTAGACAGGATTTGTTTCTGAAAAAGAAACCCAGTTTAACTTTCAGTTTCTTTACCAAGTTTTCCACATGGAGCTTAAAAGAGAGATGTGAGTCGACCAAGATACCCAAATATTTATAGGAATCAACAAACTCAATGGGGACACCATTTGAGGATAAAATCAGAGGAAGAACTGCTGGGACCGACTTCCTGTTTGAAACAAGCATCCCTTTGGTTTTGTTGGTGTTTAGGACAAGTTTGAGATGGAACAAGTCTGACTGGATGATGTGAAAGACAGATTGCAAAAGCTGGAAAACTTTATCAACTGTTTTAGCTCGACAATAAACAACTGTGTCATCAGCATAGAAATGTATGGATGCGTCAGGGATGCTCTGACCTACATTACCTATGTAGATTGTAAAGAGGGTGGGTTCTAAGACTGAGCCTTGTGGTACACCATTGTTGACTGGTAAAGAACTGGAGGAAGTACCATTATGTTGAAAAAAAAATTGTCTGATGACCAGAGGTCACGTTCTGCTCATCAGCAGGCAGGTGGAGAACATCCAGAAAACTACAGAAAGATGAACTCAGGTGTAGTCGCACTGACGTCAGCTGACTGGACAGGTGCGGGTGGGGGTTGTACTGGTTGGTGATTTGAGTCAAACCAGAAGGAGGAGATGATTAAAGTCCATCAACGGGAAGACAGACGGGAGTCTCTGTGGTGCGTTCAGGTGTCGTGGAGTCGGAGCAGCTCTTAATAAACCTGTGAGACCCTCAGTTGGGACCTGGACCTGAGTTTGACCTGCTGACCCTGATTGAACCGGACAGTTTGATCTTGTTCCTCAAAACGTGTCGAACTCTGACGGGTTGCGTTTTAAAAAGATTGGGACATCGTTCAAATGTCGACGTGATGCGTTTTGATCGTTTTAATCTGAAGGAAACTGACAGAAACTAATTTTGATGTTTCACCGTGAAACACAAAAACGTGTTTTCAGTCAACAAGTGCTGTTCGTTTGTAGGAAACCAAGAACGAGAGCAAACATTAAGATGATTCAAAATAAAGAGGATAAAGTTTTAGATATAAATGAACGCTCTGAAAAGGATCAGAGATTTGTATCAGACAGAAGAAGAAGAAGCTGATGTTGAACTTTGGGGTCAGATAAAACTGAATGTGCTCTCAGAAGAGTTGGAAGGCGCCTAGATGAAAGAATCACAGCTATAATCCTGTTAAAAGCAAAACTGGGCCAGATGGTTATTTTTAAACACACTCTCCGTTACCCCTTTGATAAATACACTTAGAGAATCCTTTAAAAATGGAAAACGGAAGCATCCGTTAATGTTTGTCTAAAACCTGAAAAGGAAGAACACGTCGCTCCTGTACGCCGTTCTCTTTGTTAAATGTCTCCTTTAAAGCACTGTCCAAGAATCTAGCTAATAGATTGGAAAAGATCACAGGATTCTTATTGATTCTTATTGATCAGGCAGGTTGTTAACAGCTGACAGGACACAGATAGTTGAAGAAAACTGCTTCATATCTTGGAATGATCGGAGGACGCAGCTGAACCGAAGCTGAAAAAGAAGCCGATCGTGGGCATTTGATTTTCAAACTTCACAAACTGTTGGAGATGCTTTTTAAAAATGGATAAAAACAATGTAGTGACAGTGAAACAAACGGTGTCACATCTAAACCTTTGACTCTGGAAGAGGATGGAGAAGGCCGCTCTTATTTCATGAAGGCTGTCGAACCCTCGGCAGCTGCTGCACACCTGACCTCAATCAACATGTTAATGGAGCTAAATGACAAGCAAGAATTTAACTCAGCATTAGCTGCTGCTGATTTATTAATATACATGTCCAACACCCAAATATCCCCATGCCTCACCTGATGTTGCTTTTGGAAGTTTTGTAAATTATCAGGGACTGAAATAAATTGTGGAAACAGTGAAATTATGCCTCTAAATAAACTGGTGATGACTCAGTTACCTGGTGTTTTAAATGGACTCCTGGTGGATTTTTATATTTAGCTTTTAATATATGCAATGATTTAACTCAGATGTACAAACTGAATTACCTTCCATCAATTGGTAACTTTAAAATAGATATTTATAAATGGAAGGACCTGTCATGGAAGAATAAATAGTTCTCCCAAAGTTTCTGTTTCTTTTTCAAGTTTTTTTTTTTTTTTTGAGGGTTTCCTGTTCGGTGGCCTCAGGATTCATCTCTGCTCTTTGCAGATGATCTGGTCCTGTTGGTGTCATCGTGCCGTGATCTCCAGCTGTCACTGGAGCGGTTCACAGCCGAGTGTGAAGCAGCTGGGAGGAGAACCAGCACCTCCAGACCTGAGGCCATGGTCCTCAGTCAGAAAAATCTGTGGATTGCTCTCTTCTAGTCGAGGGTGAGGTTCTGCCTCCAGTGGAGGAGTTCAAGTATCTCAGAGTTTTGTTCACGAGTGAGGGAAGAACAGAGCGTGACAGACTGGTGTAGCATCTACAGTATTGTGGACACTGTGCCGGTCCATTGTGGTGAAGAGAAAGCTGAGCTGTAAAACAAAGTTCTCTGTTTACTGGTCGGTCTCACCTCTGGCCATGAACTCTGTAAGGATGCTCTCTGGGCGCCTCCTTAGGGAGGTGCTTCAAGCATGTCCAACTGGGAGGAGACCCTGGGGAAGACCCAGGACACACTGGAGGTACTACATCTCTCAGTTGGACTGGGAACACCTTGGAGTCCTCCCAGAAGAGCTGGAAGAGGCTGTGGAGAGAGATGTCTGGACCTCCCTGCTCAAGATGCTGCCCCACGACCCGACTTCAGGACAAGCAGAAGATGATGGATTGTTGTAAATTATATTTGATAAAGAAGTTTTTAAAAAGGAGATTGAAAGTTTTTATCTGAAGGAAACACCGACAGAAACTAATTTTGCCATTTCACCATGAAACACAAAAACGTTCTCATTATGAGTGAAAGTCACGCAGCTGAGGAGTTACTGAAGCAGATCAGAAACAGAATTACAGGAATCGATCAATAAGTTCACAGATATTTCATCTACGACACCGAACCATTTTGAGAATAAAAAGGTAATTTTGAAATCGATGGCAGCAAGGCGTCTCTTTAAGGAAGTTCAAGGAGCAAAAGACTAAACAGTAAGTGGTTTGGATCAGAACCAGCTGGCAGAACATTTTACATCTAACTAGGTTAATTAGACCTGTTGACAGGCCAGTAAGAGGACTGGGGAACAAAAACTTTTTTGTGTGGTTGAATCCTTCGGAAGTAAAGATGGGCTGAGGTTCACATTCTGTGATAAACTGTGTCTAAAAATATATTGTTTCTAAAAAAAAAAAAAAAAACCTGCAGTATTACTTTTTATAATTGTTTATTGTTGTTGTTGTTGGCCATTGTCGTCATCTTTCTTTGTTGAAATCAGGTCTCTCTTGTAAACGAGTCCTCGAGGCTCAATGGGATTTACCTGTCTAAATAAAGGGTGAATGAAAAAAAAAAGCAGGAATAAAACATGGCTTTTATTTTGAAAACTTGTATCAGGGAAGCAAATGTAGCACAAAGGAAAGGGAGCCAAAAAGAGAACCCTGTGGAACACCAAGCCTAAAAGTAACTAGAAAAGATGAGCATCTTGTGTAAGTGAAGTAAAGAATAAGAAGTGATGAAATGGAGCACTGAAAAATGTTAAGGCCATGTAAAACATATAAAAGCAGAACATTTAGTTGTATAAAATTAAATGTTCCACATTTAATTTATCTGCAAAAACTGATCATTAAAAAAAAAGTCTGCACATCCTGCATCATCTCTGGTTTGTAAATTACTCCACCCCTGGGGTGGGGTGGGGGGGGGGGGGTTGAATCTTTCCTTTAAATTCAGAAGTCACAGAACAGGAGCTCAGTCTCACTCATCATCATCCTCATCTTCATCGGCTGAGCTCCAGTTTCAGGTGAGTCAGAGACCAGTGGTGGACCCTAACGAAGTACATTTACTTGAGTACTGAAGTAAATTTTTCTGAGTATCTTTACTTTACTTGAGTATTTGTACTTTTGGGAACGTATGACTTTCACTCCATTTCAAAGACAAATACTCAACTCTGCTCTTGTTACTCGTTCCTTTGGACTCGTCTTTATAATCTGCTGTGGCTGTTTCTCTTT